CATTAAACACTGAACTGATTTTCACAGTGGAACAACAAAATTGCACTCAGTGCGCATCAGTGTTGCACCAGTTTTCCCAGTGGAAAACGTTATAACTCGATTGATTTATTCCGAGAAAGATTGTGGCTCTGAAAGGTTCGGATCGTTCGGGTTACCATTTGGGTCAGCGTTGCCAACCGTAGCATAATTATGCTACATGTACCATAATTCGTTTGCAATGTAGTCTGTAGCATTCAAGGTACCTATGCTACGCATATTTTAGCATAATTTTTAAAAAGTGTATTTTTTATCACTTTTTGTCTTATACTGAGGCTGCGGTCCATTTGACGCTACAAACGCTTCGAAGCATTCTTTGATTAGTCAATTTGTAAAATTCTTTGTTCTGATTGGTCGCTCAAACGCTTCGAAGCGTTTGTAGCGTTAAGTGGACCGCAGCCTGACAAAAGTGCACGTACGCGTCTATGTTAGTCTAGCGTCCGCGGTTATACATGTTTTCATGTATTATGGCTGCGTTCCGAAATTCACTTGCTAGATTTTCAATACTGGCACCTGGAGTTGATTGATTTTGGAACACAGCCTGTGTGATTTTGGTTATGTTGTAATTTACCTAGGCTGTATTCCGTTATACACTGTCAGTTCTGAAAATATAGTTCACGTGACGTATACTATAGGTTTTCAGTACTGGCAGTGTATATCGGAAGCGGAACACAACCCTAGTGTTAACTGTTAATGTCAATAGCATAGCAATACAGATACAGAGTGAAGTGACAAGATCTTGACAATTTTAACGAGTTGTGTACGCTGTATATCCTGTAAACGAATGTATTAAAAAATTTAAATTTGCTTTCCTAAGGTACGTAACTACTTGCTTTGTTTTGCGCTCTCATACAGACCAATTAACCATGGTGAGTAAAAAATTTTCCTCGGAAAGGACGTTTTAGAATGTGAATTAACTTTAATAAGCGTACAGCTACAAAGCGTGCAAATATTAAATTAAAGCACCTATTTTCTTTTAGAACAATAATGTCATCCGATTTATACTCAAGTTATGGCACCACACCCAAAAAGCAGTTTAAATGTGTTGAGAATCGATGTGACTCGCTTTTTGTAGTAACGGATAACTCGCTTGTTGTGGTCGCACTCTCTTTATTGTTACAAACATAGAACTCGTACAACAATGCGTTCGTCTCGTGATGAAGGAAATACAAGACTAAAAAAATATAATATATCAACATAAAAACGAACGCTGAGGAGCGCGTATGGCATACGTCTTGAGAAGATGGCTGACAAAACAGGGGGGTCATACGGCCGGGAACGAATACGCTAGTGTCCATAGCGCCAGTATCCTAATGATCAAGCTGGTGCCAAAAACGGCGGGTAATATAAACATCGAGAGCGACGACCTCAATCTCCAACATATCGCCTCCCTTGAAAGGGTTAAGCCCTTTAAATCGCAACATGAATTGTCATCTTGGCTGGGCGGCGATTAGGCAACTAAGTGGGAAATCACATCGTAATTCAACTCTGAAACTAAAAGAAACTCAGTAATACGAAAACATAAACCAAAAACATGTCTGTCATTATCATTTAATGATGAAATAAGGATACAGTGCGCAAATACTGCGCGTAGATAAGCGATTGAACAATTAATCTTCCTTGCGTATTGGTAGTATACATATTTTAGTTATCGGTCTTTTATATGTTCCCTTGACAGTCCGGACTGAGACCACTCTGGATACTCCATCTGTGCCAGAGTACACGTCCTCAATGCGTCCAACTGCCCACTGAAGCGGTAATGAGTTATTCTCCTGAACCATGACCATGTCGCCAATGACTGGGTGAGGCCCCTTGGATCGCTGCCACTTAGTACGCTGCTGTAATTGCTGCAGGTACTCGCGACTCCATCGCTTCCAGAAGTGCTGGAATATTTGACTGACTCGTTGCCAACGCAAAAGTCTATTATTGGGCAGATGTGTAACATCTTGTTGCAGAACAGTGGTAAGAGAGTCTCCGACTAGGAAGTGTCCGGGTGTTAGGTAGGATAGGTCGTTGGGATCGTTGGATAAGGGTGAAATCGGACGTGAGTTTAAGACTGCCTCAACTTGGGTAAGCACAGTGTACATTTCTTCAAATGTTAATGGTGTGTCACCGACGATGCGTTTTAAATGAAGCTTCGTGGACTTAACCGCTGCCTCCCAAATGCCACCAAAGTGGGGGGCGTGAGGTGGTATGAAATGCCATTCGATGAAGTCTTCCTTCAGCAGATTGTCCAGCTTGTTCTGATGATCCTTGCTATGAAGCATGTGATAAAGCCCTTCAATGTATTCGATGCTCCTTGAAAATTCGTCCCGTTATCCGAATATGTATGCAGTACCTTGCCTCGACGAGCTATGAAACGCTTGAGAGCGTTCAGAAACGCTTCGGTAGATAAACTGCTCACCAATTCAATGTGAACGGCCTTCGTAGATAGACATATAAAAACGGCTACGTACGCCTTTACTATCTTGGTGTTGCGAAGTTGTCCGGACCTTATGTGGAACGGACCACAGTAGTCTACACCGCTGCGTTCAAACGGTTTCGATGACGTAACTCTATATGCAGGCAGATCGCTCATGATTGCTTCGGAGGCATGTGGATCTGCCTTGCGACAGGTAATGCATTCCCTGATGTACTTCTTAATGCTGTTTCGTGCTGATAGGGGCCAATACTTGTTGCGAATAGCGGCCAATGTGGTTTGTGCTCTCGCATGCAGCTGCCTTTGATGCTCATATTGTATGACTAGATATGTGAATGGATGATTACCTGGCAGTAGAATTGGGTGCTTTGCATCACGTGAGATCGCTGCCCCTTGCAAGCGTCCGCCTACTCTGATAATGCCAAGCTCGTCGATAAATGGAGACAAGCATGACAACTTGTTTTTGCGTGATACGCTCCTCTGTGTCTTCAATGCGTGCAAGTCCTGCTTGAATGCAGCCTGTTGAACTATTTTTACGAGGCGCAAACTAGAATTCACTAGCTCCTGTGTAATTATGCGACCTACTGTTCTGACTCCTTGACCTTTCGCATTGGTCATGAATCTTAGGCAGAGAGCATTGATTCTGATCAGTTTACTAAATGACGAAAACCTCTCGAACAAGCCCGGCCCATCCTCAGTAATGATCATGGTCTTGAGAGCGCGTTTTTGTTCTGGCAGTTCCTTGGACGGAACGGGCGGAATATTTGTGCACCAGGTCTAAGCTCCCTTCTCTAGCCATGATGGACCAAACCACCAGAGGGCCGAATTGATCAAGGTCGACGGAAGAGAACCTCTGGAAACGTGGTCAGCTGGGTTGCATTCTGTAGCAACGTGGAACCAACTGCTTGTTTGAGATAATCGATTTCACTGACCCTATTGGCGATGAAAGCATTCCAACTCTTGTCTGTAGCCTTTATCCAGTGTATCACTATCATGGAATCGGTCCAATAGTACACCGATTCTGGTTTGAAACGTATTGTCCTCAAGATTTTGTCTATTAGTTGTGCCAACAGTACTATATCACAACTCCAGTCGTGATAAGGTAATCGCCTTCAGAGGAGCAACGCGAGATTTCGAACATAATAGTCGCGTAGAAATTTGATTCTGCGCGTCAGTGACCCTGAGGTAGGCGCATGCTCCATACGCCTTCTCGCTTGCATCAGAAAACCCATGGATTTGAATGCTGACTGCGTCTCTGCAGGCTACATAACGTGGCACCTTGAGTTCGCTAATCAAACTTAACTGAGACTCGAACTTCGTCCATGCCGTATGCAGGTCCATGAGCACGGTTTCATCCCATGCCAGATCAAGCTGCCAGATCCTTTGTATAAGCATTTTGGCTACGAGCGCTATAGGGCCTAAGAGTCCTAAAGGATCGAATATCCTTGATAGTACAGATAACATCCGTTTCGTTATCCTTGCGTGGCCAGAGGGATTGATATGATATTGGAAATCGTTAATTTTTGTATTCCAATGTATGCTTAATGTAGATTAGACACCTCTTCGTCAGTATTGATGAAGTGAACGGGCTCGCAAATATCAGCGTGGGGTATGTCCTGTAATAGTTTGGGGTAATTAGACGCCCATTTCCTGAGATGGAAACCTCCCGAGCTTAATATCTTGATGGTTTCGTTCCGTAGGGTTCTAATCTCTTGCTCCGTGTCGGCTCCAGACAATAGATCATCGACATAAAAATCGTTGACGATAGTGATTGAACCCACCGGATAGATCGACGCATATATGCTGGCTAACTCCTGCATCGCTCTCACAGCCAGAAAGGATGCACATGCTGTACCATATGTCACGGTTTTCAGTTCAAATGCTGCTACTTCTTCGGTTGGATCGGCTCGCCAAAAAATTGTTTGAAGTGATGTTTGCGACTCATCTATTAATACTTGCCGATACATTTGGGCGATATCAGCCGTAATGACATACTGAAACGTACGAAAACGTAGCAAGATCGAGAACAGATCTTCTTGCAGGGTGGGTCCTACTGAGAGGCACTCGTTGAGCGAAATTCCGGTGTTGCTCTTGCACGACGCATCAAACACCACACGTAGTTTGATAGTTAAACTGCTGCCCTTCAATACAGCATGATGCGGTATGTAATAGCGCGGAGCGTGCGCTCGATTGTGATGCGTTCTATATGAGCTGAAGCTAAGTATTCGTTCATGAAGCGTACGTACTGATCCTTCAGCATCGGCTGCTTCTGCAATTTACGCTCTAGACTGAGAAATCTGTTCTGTGCTGTATCGCGAGATTCACCGAGTTGTTGCAGCTTGATAGGCATTCTTACGACGAACCGCCCATCTGCATTCCTTGTGGTAGTTTTAGCAAAGTGCTCCATGCAGTCCCTTTCGTCAGGATTAAATGATACTTCGTTGGTGATGAGCTCCATTTCCCAAAGCTTGCTTACTGCTTGACTGATCTGTTGATCGACTGACAAGGTGCAAATCTCGGACCTTACTGGACCATCATTGTATGGTTTGTCACCAACAATCCAACCCAGCTGGGTTTTTTATAGTATAGGTAGATTCTTGTGCACGCGTATTTGTCCTACACATAATAATTGCCAAAAGATCTCAGCGCCTATGAGCATATCTATTGCGGCCGGTGTATAGAATTGGGGGTCAGCTAGTCGTATATTGTTCGGTATCTTAAAATTATTGATATTGATGTGCATTGGAGGCAAATTTTCGGTGATGCTATTTATTACGTGACATTCAATGCTTCGCGAAAATGATGTGTGAACCGACTTGATTCGTACATTAATTACGTGTTCAGAGTACGTTTGGGATTTATCTATTCCTGTGACGGACATATTGGCTCGCTTCCGAACGAGATTCAGCCCTTTGGCAAGGCTATCAGTGATAAAATTGGATTGAGACCCTGAATCCAATAATGCTCGACAAGTATGTGTATTGCCATGCTGATCATAAATATTAACGACTGCTGTGGATAATAATATAACCTGTTGGTACTTATCTGGAGCGACGTGATGCGTTAAAACAACTGTACCAGAATTGCTTGCTTGACTGGGCTGGGTCGTGGATTCTGTCTCCACCTGCGATTTGTCCTGCATGTGAAGCAACATGTTGTGCTTCTTGCTGCATGTTTGACATGTAGACGACTTGCAATCCTTGGCTTGATGAGAGATGGAGCGTAGGCAGTTGAGACATAACCGTCTGACTCTAACTTGTTTGTTCCTATCTTCACACAACTTTAAAAAATTCGGACATTGAAAAATGTGATGTTTTCCCTTGCAATAAGCACAACAGACATTGAAAATGGATACATGGGCACTAGAAATCTTGTTAGATTTACGTGGATTCGACGTTGCTGCGTCATTGACGGCCTTGTTAGACACGATTGACATCGTTTTACACTTTTGTGATAGAAAGTCGGTAAATTGCCTTAGGGTGAGCATTTCACCTGCCGAGATGTGATCCTTCCAATCGCTAATGAGATTCGACTCTAATTTTGTAGTAATTAAATGTATAATGAGGTCGTCTCACTGATCAGCCTGCCCAAGCTTTTCAGGGAACGCAGCACGTCATCCACTAACTTTCTTAACGCCTCGTGATCCATTTTTGGTACTATGGGGAGATTGAATAACGACTTAATGTGTTTTTGTGAAATGATAGATTTATCGTCGAAATGTTGTTTTAGTAATTCTAAAGTCTCACGGTAGTTATCGGAAGTGATCTGTATTGACTTGATAACGTGCGCGGCGTCACCCTCGAGAGAGGAGATCAGGTAATGGAAACGCTGAACATTTGTTAATTTTGGATTCAAGTGAATCATAGATTCAAACGTGTTATAAAAAGGATATCAATCCTCATAATTGCCGCTGAACTTTGGTATTGCGATTTTCGGTAAATGCACTTGACTGATATATCACGGACATAACCTTGATTGAGCGGTGTCTGCCCGGAAACGCGTGACTCTAACGCGCTGCTTTGTATGTCGTTCACATCCGAGGCTACGCACGAAGAAGCTAACAAAGCATCGATCTTACCGGCAGTATTATAAGCCTAATAATTATGTATCTCTCTATAAAATCTAGTAGTTTATCTGGAACAAGAATACGAATTCTAAAGGTATCCGTATTCTTGTGAACTTGATACGTTGTTGAAGTCGCGCGCGCGAGAAAAACGCGTCCCCGCTGGCAACACTGGGTTTAAGGACAGTTATCCAGGTATTGTTATTATAAAGTGCATATGTCTCTTCGCACATTTATGCGCAAGCGAAGCTTGTAAACAACTTCCAAGACGTCCTGAAGTTCTGGCACGAAACATTTATAATTATTTTAAAAATAGTTCAAAACGGCAACATGACTTCAAGCAGTTCCAAAAATTTTTGAATTTGAATATCCATAAGATACTGCATCCATTTCAAACCAGACGGCTAACTTTAAATGAAGTTGTTAACAGGATCTTGGAGCAGTGGGAAAACTTAAAGTTATATTTCAGTAGTACTTACTTAAACGATAGATTAATAGCTACAGAGCAAATTTATAAAGCAATAGTAAAAAGAATGGGCTACGAGCCAGTTATAACATAAAGAATATTTAATAAACTTTCTTACATACATGTAAACGCTTCGACACCGATCGGGTCATTTTCAATGCAAAACAATAAACAATTTTATAAAATTCTCGGAAAATTCAGTTAAATTATAAAGTCCAGTTACAAAGTTCGGTTGTATTAATGACATGTGGTCCATATGTAAAAATCTCGAAGATCTCATCTCACTTTTTTTACAATTCTCCAATCTTACAAATAAATAATAAATTAACAATACGTTATAAATTTATAAAGATTTACAAGACTCATTTATTAAATTATACTATTTGTTCTTGCAGTGATTCTTGTCAAAATTTACTGAGTTTAATAAATATTTTCAATCGGAGAATGTAATAGTTACCGATCTGTATTGTAAATTATTCTCCTTATACAAAGATATTCTTATGTGTTACATGAATAAAGTATATATACATATGACAACTTTAAGTAACATTAATCCATCAAATTCTATTGAATTTGTTCCTATATCTACAATATATTTAGGCGTAAATGTTATGAATTTGTTAAGTGACATGGAAGCCAGAAAGCATTCAAATCTGATTCAAGATTTTTTATTACGAGTTAGGCAATTCGTGATTGTTTCGTGTGAACCGATACAGAAACGTTTTAATTTTAACGATCCTGTTTTAAAATATCTACATGCTCTGAATCCACTAAACGCATTGTCCTTAAATTTTCGAAATGAACTGCCAAGTCTAAATATATTAATGAGAAGTTGTGGTCGCATGATGCCCTTGCCTGAAGCTTTATCACCGATTGGTAATAATAATTGTTCTAATAATGAACAATTATTATTAGAACAATTAATAGATGATGAATGGCGTAAATTACCAATAAGTATATTAACCGAAGAAATTAAAAATGAAGAAATACCGACAAATTTTGGGTGAAATTATTAAATTTTAAAAATATATTAAATGAACATGAATATTTCAATATTAGTAGCTTTGCTTTAAATGTGCTCAGTATACCGCATTCGAATGCCGAATGCGAGCGCATTTTCAGTAAAGTGAATTTAATAAAAACCAATCTCGAAATAGACTTGTCACTAAAACAATTAATGGTATTTTACTTACAGCTCAGTGTGTAAAGCAAAATAATTCCTGTGTTAAATTCGTACCTAATAAAAAAATGATAAATGCAATAAATTTAAATATGTACGACCATCATAAACAAGATGTGTGCAATGAAGTTGATGATGATGTAATTTATATACAATAAATACCTACAAAAGATAATATTATCTTTAGTAAATTTTTTTGTTGTCGTTTATAAGTTCAAGTACTTATTGACCCGTATTCAGAACGCTTTTAAAGATGTTAGCGTGCTTTTTTGTTATTCTTTATCATTCATTAAAGGTAAAATAAGGATAAAATGATAAAAAAAAGCACGTTAACATCTTTTTTGTCATTTTATCCTTATTTTACCATCTTTGAAAGCGCATTTTGAATACGGGCCATTTTTTTTAGTAAGTAAGTTTAATTTTAATTTTGTGATCTCGATAGTTATCTAGGTATATCGCAATAAGTTTCTCAAATTGTAAGATCTCTAGTCGTGTTATTTTTCTTTTATTTTCTTTTATTTTTTTTTCATAAGAAACTTATTGCGATATACCTAGATAAC